TTGGAGGAAGCACATCCAGAATGCTCCTTAGAAACAAGGACGGCGAGACTTCATCTTACATACTTTGGACATGTTATCAGGAAGGACCAGTACCTGGAGAAGGACATCATGTTTGGTAAAGTAGCAGGTCAGTGAAAAAGAGGAAGACCCTCAACAAGATGAACTGACGCAGTGGCTGCAATAATGGGCTCAAGCATAACAACGATTGTTAGGATGTTGCAGGACCGGGTATTGTTTTGTTCTGTTGTACATAGGGTTGATGTGGGTCGGAATCGACTGGAAGGTACCTAACAGCAGTAACAACCCTCATGGGGTTGCTGAGAGGATCTCTGGCCCTTTGGGTTATGAGAGCACTTTGTGAAGTATTGCATGCTTTGAGAAATGACTATTTTCATTATGTAAAAATGCTGACTATGGACAATCAGCTTTGGGGATGCCCTTAGGCTAATATATGTCGCTTGGCTGGTTGCACTCAAAGGCATGAGCTCCACTCCCCTCCTGCACGTGCAGCATGCTGGTAGCCTCAGTTTTCCTCTCTGTAAATGGAAATACTCTAAGCACTCACCTTCAAGGGGGAGAGAGTCAAACAGAATCATATGCACACATTTCCAGCAGGGAGGAAGCATCCAGAAAATACTAGCGATTCCTCCTGAGGCCTCCTGGGTTTCAGTGCACAGTTGCAGTCAGATTGGCCTGGATTCAAATCCTGTCTCTGTATGTTCTGGGCCTGTGACTGTAGGCAAGTCTCACTCTCTGTGCCTCCCCATCAGCGAAATGCAATGATACTCGCTACCCACGGAGAGAATGTGCTCAAAGCACTCGCTCAGCCAAGTGGGAGATGGGCCTCAGGAGGATGTGGTGCTGACACCCCCCCCCCCACATCTGAGATGACAGTGACATGAGGTCCTCGGCCTAGCATGCCACGCCATGAACAGTAGCAAGACAAGGCCAGGTAGAATACCACTCCCTCCAACCTGAGGGGAAGAAACTGGCAGCCTCAATGGGCAGCGCCCTCCCTTCAGGTGTGGGCAGCCCCAGCGCTAGCTTGGCCAGGTTGCACCAGTTACCCTCAGCATCCCTGGGGCATGGGCAGAGTGTTTCTGGGGCAAGGGCAGAGGCCAGGAGGGGAAGGTTTCCTGTGGAAACCTAGAAAAAAGAGGTAGGCCACAGAAACACATTTCCAGGTGTTACATGAAAGGTTAAAATTTACTTATAAAACCCGTTGCTGTTGAGTCAATTCCAACTCACAGCAACCTTATAGGACAGAGTAGAACTGCCCCATAGGGTTTCCAAGGCCGTAATCTTTACAGAAGCCACATCTTCCTCCTGCGGCATGGCTGGTGGATTCGTACTGCTGACCTTTCGGTTAGCAAGTGACCACTTAACCACTGCGCCACCAGGGCTCCATTACATACTTACAGACAGTTGAAAATTCTGATCCAGCCATTGCAATGGATCTGAAAATCAGGATTCTATGCCCTGGGACAGTGGAGGGTCAATTAGTGTAAAACACGTGGTCTTTGAACTCAGACAAGCAAAAGCTTCAACTCGTGACTCCACCAGCTGTGTGCCCTGGGGGCTGGGGCAAGGACCTACGGTAACCTTTCTGAGCCTCAGTGTCCTTATCTGTAAAATGGGCATGGTAACAGTAACTGCCTGCTAGGGTAGCTGGCAAGGATGTCAAGTGTCTGGCAGGGCAGCCAATGACAAACCAGCTGTCCCCAATCAATGTCTCTGAGCGGTGATCACAGGCAGTGTGTGCAGCAAGAGCTTTCCTTCTGAGTCCTACCGTCATCCTCGTCCTTGGCGCCTGGTGTGGGCACGAACAGGGGCTCCGCCGGCCAGCAGTGTTCCTCTCTCCATTTTAAGGATGACTTTGTGAGAATGTCATATTTTAGTATCTGTACATCCAAAGAGGAGAAACATAGGAATGACCTGTTCAAGAGCATGCATACTCCCCGCGAATAGAAAGGCATCAAGGCCCACGTGGCAAGAAGATTGACCAACCAATTGCCACCCAGTCAATTCTGACTCATGGAGATCCTGACTCATGGCAACCCTACGTGTGTCAGAGCAGAACTGTGCTCTATAGGGTTTTCAGTGACCGATTTTTCAGAAGTAGATCACCAGGCCTTTCTTCTGAAGAGCCTCTGGGTGGACTTGAACCTCCAACCTTTCAGTTCGTAGCAGAGTGTGTTAACCATTTGCACCATCCCTCAAATGCAGGCTTTTGACATTACTTCCATGTGACATCTGCCTCCAGTCACAGCCTCACAACTGCAATGAAAGAAGCTAACTTTCCTCCTCCGACCCTAGGCTTATAGCCCTTCGCCACCACGTAGCTGGTACCGGACAATGAATTCTTTTAGAAATAAAAATCCTGAAGTCATCTGGAAATTGGCACTACATTGCCATTTTTATATGTGCAAAACAAGAAAAAGTATTCAATGCATACATTTAAAGTATGATATAATCGCTTGTTGTTTTAAAAGTGGAAGTCCCTGGGCCTCTCTTACTCTCCAATAGGCTTGCCTCCCTCTAGGATGTGGGATTAGCAAGGAGTGACTTGGGGTGTGCGTAGGTGTGTGGGGTGGGAACTTAATTTTTCACTTTCTGCATTTCTGCACTGTTTGCCCTTGTTAAAATTTTTTTCCATTTTATCATTTTAAAATTAAGCTATTAAGGCCAAGTGACAACTGCACACTTAGCACAGTCCCTGGGGCACAGTAAGTGCTCGACAAATAGTAGCTTAAAGAACAAATATAGTTGCACAACACGGTGGATGTAATTAACGTCACTGAATTGTACACATAGAAATGGCTGAAATGGCAAATGTTTTGTTATACATGTTCTACCACAATAAAAGAATAAACAAAGTCTCTTAAGTTTCAGCTACACCTCTCTGCTGGTGAGTTTCATTGTAGCACATAGTAGGTGCTCAGAAAATATGTATTGAATAAAGAAATCAATGAATAAACTCCATCCATGACCTCTTACCTGCATTCAGCACATCAGGTATGGCTCACTCTCTTGGATGGTCCATGATCACTTCAAATTTACTTTGTCCCAAATTGACCTTACTGTCCTACCTACCCCTGTCCCCAAGGGGACTTCCCTGCTGACCTCCTCTTTTCTGATCAAGGTCGCCCAGTCTCAAATCCTGAGAATTCAGCTTTACTGTAGGGAAAGCCTGCCAGTGATAACACAGTATCATACCTGAGTTGGGATTGGACTCCACTGAACTTCAGCAGCAAAGACATATCGGTATGGTTTCCCATTGTGAGTGTAGTTAATTCGAGGTAGCTCTAAGCCTAGAGAGAAATGGCACAGCTAGTGAGGCCACTGTCAGGGAGGGCTGGGAGCATTCTGCCCTTCATGCCAAGCTGGGCATCCTTTCCACAAAGACAGTTCCCAGTCTAGGGTGCCTGAGCTTGATTTGGGCCCTGGATTGGATCAGTGGGGATGTGAACTCCCAGGAGCAAGGTAGCCAAAGGGCAGGGGAGGGGAACCTCTGCAAATTGCCCTGGCTCTATTAGAAGGTTTACGAGCAAGAAAAGAGAGACCTAGATTTTTAAGTGTATAAACATCTTTAATTATCCCAGATAAAAATCGAAGAGAATTATATGATTAAAATCAGAGGCTACTGCAATTTTTTTTTAACACTCTTTAAAAAGGAATACTGGTGTTTCTGTGTGTGTGTGTGTGTGTGTGTGTGTGTGTGTGTGTGTGACATGTTTGTGGGTGTGAAGAGAAGCCATAAAAAGGAGTATCAATGGTGAACAGTTAAATAAATCTGGTGAATTCATATAATATATTGTGTAAAAATGTTTACAAAGGACTTTTTTTGTTTTTAAACAAAGGACTTTTAATAACATGGAAAAATGCCCTATCATAATGTTACTTAAATGCAGAATTAATGTGGTTATAGAATTAGCTCCAAAATGAATGGAAGCATTGCTGAGGTTATAACTTCCTGACAGTTTATATTTTAAATTGTACATTCTAAGTTTTTCAGCTAGGGTGATGGTGCCCCCCAGGGGACATCTGGCAATGTCTGGAGACATTTTCTGTTGTTCGAACTGGGAAGAGAGGCAGTGCTACTGGCATGTATCGGGTACAGGTCAAGGACATTGTTAAATATCCTACAATGCACAGCGCATCCCCGACCAGAAGGAATTACCCGGCCCCAAATGTTAATAGTGCTGAGGTTGAGAAACCCTGCTCTAGTGACGTAAATTGTAGTTTCAGGGGGTCTATATTCTGTGTGTAAGTGGTTTATATTCCGTGTGTAACTCAACTTCTCTGAAAACCGAGTTATCTTTAAAACGGGGCTGATAAAACCCATTTTCCACCACCTGTCTGTCAGTACTGTGGTGGCTTGTGTGTTGCTATGATGCTGGAAGCTATATCACCAGAATTTCAAATACCAGCAGGGTCATCCATGGTAGACAGGTTTCAGCGGAGCTTCCAGACTAAGACAGACTAGGAAGAAGGCCTGACGATCGACTTCTGAAAATCAGGCAATGAAGACCATATACATCACAACAGAACAGTGTTCAACTAGCTTACTTTGGACATGTCATCAGGAAGGATCAGTTGCTATAGGAGGACATCATGTTTGGTGAAGTAGAGGGCCAGTGAGGGCGTGGGAGATCCTTGGTGAGATGGATTGGCACAGTGGCCACAACAATGGACTCAAACATGCCTGCAATTGTGAGGATGACGCAGGACCAGGCTATGTTTCATTCTGTCGTACATAAGGTCTCCATGAGTCGGAGTTGACTTGCTGGCAGCTATTTATCTATCTATCTGTCTATCTATCACCTATTTTACAGAGTTATTGTGAATGGGTAGAGATAGAATTATGAACACATTGTGCCTTTTCAGTAAGCCAGTAAGTCACAGCATTTGCAGACAGCAACTGTGAAAGTCGTCTGGTCCAATGACCATCCAGTGGTGTTTGGAGATAGATTAAAGAGAACTGTCCCAAACGCTTTTCACTGGGACAACCCAAGAGCCCTTCTCTTTGTCCCCAGTCCAGATGTAGCCCCTCTTTATTGGAGGGAGGTGTTATATAAAAAGGCCTCAGGGTTCTTCATGAAAACCTGCCCCTTCTCTAAATGCCGGAAGAGAGACTGCATTTTACCTTCATAAAGCGATTCTGGCTGGCAGTAGACTTGGTCGTCTTTTTCCTTCAGGGCTGTTGCTGTTGTAGATGCAAGTTTGATTAAATTTGAGCCCACTTCTGCATTCTGAAAAGAATCCATTTTCAAAGAAAGGAAAACTTGTTATGCAAAGCAAACATTTGCTTTCCTGTGTACATTTTAAAAATGCTTTAGCACACATCATCTTGTTTTGGCCTCACCATTAGCTGTGGGAAGCAGCTATTATCTTGTCACTACCCTTACTCTCAGTTAAAAAATGAGGACTGTCAAGATGAAGCAACTCCCCAAGGTGGCAGAGCTGTTAGGTGGTAGGGCCAGGACACCTAAACCCATGGCCTTTATTCCCCTACTCTGGGCTGCCTTATCCCTCACAGGTAAAATTAATGTGCTTACAAGAATAAGTTCTCACTTTTTAAAGGCTGGATGATTCATCTGTAAACGACTGCATCAGTCATTAAAAGGATGTTTATAAAGAGTTTGTAATAACATGGGAAATGCTTACGATATAATACCGAGTGGAATAAGCAGCAGACCAAATTCCATACGCAGTCTGAGTTCAACCATGTTAAAAAAATTACATGGAAAACAGCCTGGGAGAGACACACCGAACATTAGCAATGCAGGGGGTGGTGGGATTATGGGGGATTGTCATTTCTTTCTCTATGCCTGTCCATATTTTCTCCTACGAACATGTATCACTGCTGAATCAAAAACATACATGCATATCTTTCAAGGCCATTCCTTGGTCTCAAGTTACAATCAGACTTTGCTCTGTTCATGACCTTACTGGCTTCATTGTAACCCAGGAGAGAGATTTAATGCAACTGAGTAAATGTTTATTGAGCATCTACTACTTTCTGTTTCCTCACATACTAACTATGGGACCTTGAGCAAGTTACTTAGCCTCTCTATAGTTCAGTTTCCTCACCTGTATAACAGGATAATAATAGTCCATCCATCATTGAGTTATTGTGCAGATGAAATGAGATCATCCAATAAGCACTTGGTAAACATTAGCTGCTGTTGTGTTGTTGTTGCTGCTATATTGCTGCTACTACTACTAGGGGTGAGTACAGGTTAGGCACTGGAGGACACTGAGGAACAAGACCCAAGCTTCCTGCCTTCCTGGAGTTCACAGCGGGAGGATTATTTAAACTTTTCTCTACTTTCTGAATTTTCCAAAATAGGCTTTTATAATTAAAGCACATCTATTTTCCTTTTAGCAGCTTTCTGCTGGAAAGGGGGGATGTTTACCGCATTTTAGGGTATAAACTGCGAAGGTCCTTAGATATTTGTTTAGTTCAAGCCCCTCAATTTATGTTAGAGGAAACTGGGGCCACCCCGAGAAGGCAAATGACTTGCCCAAGTTCTCACAGGGAGAAGCAGAGCCTACGGCCAGGCCTTTGCATTGCAATTCTTCTACCCAGAAGTACAAGCACTGCAGGCAGAGTGTAAGGCAGGTGCAAAGCCCTGAGGCTGGCCCATTCCCCTCGCCTGCCTGCGCAGAGAGGCCTTCCCTAACGACTCAGTCAGCAGTTTCTCCAAGGCATTCATCCACAACTGTAATTATCTTCTTTATGGAGCCATTCTTTTAGGCTATTTCTTCTTTTGGCTGGTCCTCCCCATGAAGGCAGGGAGCAGATTTTATTCAGTGCATGGCCGACAATCGGCTCCCACTAAATAACTGC